ATATAATAACAAGCATAATCACAAAAGATGTTAATTGCAATAATTTTTTATTTCATAGTTAAATGAAACGAAGAGCTCCACCCAACAAATGGCCACACAAGCAAAGGAAATGCAATCACAGATTAAACTCCTATCAAATGATTCACTTAATACACCAAATAAATTAGAAGCAATATTTACCAGTTCTACTTCAACACCAATTCCTACCAAAGTGACACAATCTGCTAGTGCTTTAGCAGCTAATGTGATATTTGGCTCAAGTAGTGAATCACAAACGTCTAATAATTTTAGTAATGTAACACAAGCTTCATCCAGTGTAGGTAAGATAGACAATAATACATAATATTTTCAAGATTAACTAATGCAAATTATATTCATTATTTTGTAAGTATGGTCTTTTTTACCATCAAAAATGACTTTATTATTCTGTGATTTTACACAAGTAAGTTATACATAGTTTGTACAAAATATATCACTTGGTACAGATAATGATTTTTTTTTAAACTACTCATTTGTTTGCTAATATCACAACATTGAACATGAGGCTAGAATACCAATACCTATAAACAATTTGTTAACAAAATTTGTATTTTATAAGGAGATATAGTAATTGAAATGAGAAAACATTAAATTTTTACTTATTTATAGAGTTTAAGGTTTTTAACTAATTTTGAATATTTTGAAACATTCATGCCTTTAATAATAATTTAATCGTTTTCAACTTCTTTATGCTGCTCAGTACCAATACTTGTAAAGGAAAATCAGCCAGGGAAACCGAATGTGTTAAGTGCGATAAAGGAACAGTAAACATTCTTTTGAATGGTATGACTGTATTTCTATTGTTAATTAAAATGGATTCGTGCACGACTTCAAAATATTTTCATGTTACAGTAAATTGTAATAAGAAAATATAATCTGTATCAAATAATTTGATATTACTTAATGTCAATAGAAAGAATGATTATATGCAATAAGTGTACATAATTTTAATATTTACACAAAAATGATTTGTGATATGTAACAACAATTTTAGTGTGATATTCTTATAAGAGAATTGTTATTATACAAAAATTTAAACATTCTTTATATCTTATAAGTGTATTGAAAAAAAAAATTAAAACTGTTAGTATTATTAAGTCATATTTTATTTCTTAAATATTTGTATTTAACAAAAGATTTCATTGAAAATAGTTATGTTTTTACTATTATATTGATTACCCTAGAAAGTTTTAAAATTAAATGAGAATAAATAATAAAATTGAGAATAGATACAATCTTTGTTTCATAAATCACAGTCAAAAATATTTCACATCATTTACTAAACTAACCTTCTCCACTAAAGTGATATTAATACGCATTAAAACCCTTCTAAATCAACATTACATGAGTAATTTGCACTTTTCTTCTATCATCAGTAATGCTACCATGGATAAGTGAGTCTAAAGCATATCACCTGCTTATAACAAGTCAATACCGCTATTTAAATTAATACTATTTGGCAGAAAAGTGCATGTTAATCCTAATTATTTTTAAATGTCAAATAAGATCTTTGAATCTTTGTTATCATTCCCTTAATAGTAAACACTATTAATACCTATATTAATAGTTTTTGTTACTAGCATTGGTAAGTTTCAAATCTGAAAATCACTTTCCGAATGGGTGTTGATATCCTTGTGTTGGACCTGATATATCTAGGCTATGACTAGAAGTAATGCTATAACCTGTTATACTGTCTGGGCTTTGCAGAGAGGCCGCATATAAAGGATTCATCGGGGTTGTATTATCAAATTGTGTGCTGTCATATACACTATTATTCTGGAAAAGCACAAAAAGATGTAAGTAGATGATTTTTGTATCTGGTGAATGTGAAAATTATTTATTACTTGATATATATAATCAGAGTCTGTTTTTAATGAGCTAAATGATTGTTGATGTGGCAGAGACACATTATCATCTTCCATGACATCATCTACTTGAGCTTTGTATGAAAACATAACAGTAGGCTGAGATATTCTGAAATATAATTAATCTTGAAAATCTATTGTGATGTCAATGTTAATTGATTTCAACCAAATATACCCAAAAATTCTCTTAAGAAAGTGAGGTAAACAAATGGGGTATACATTGTAAAATACAATCCAGTAGTCACATCCACTATACATAAACCTTCAGGAACATCATAATTTAATAAACCAGCACCAACTGATTGAAGACCATCGTTAAAACACAAAATAAAAACATAAAAGTAAAAAGATCTCTTAGCTAAAAAGAAAAAAGATTTCATTGAAAATAGTTAAGTTTTTACTATTATATAGATATTAAACATATGTTTAAACAGTTTCGAATTATATAAAATTAATTCATCAAATCATACTTGGTAAGGCCAGTCTGTCTCTTAGCCTTGTCCAAGGTAAAATTAAGACAGCTCCATAAAGTGCTGTAAAAACAATACTGCTACAAAACCAAAAAAGCATGCCTCCATGGCCATATAAGTCAAAATCACGGCTGGCTATATGAAATGAATCATCTGGTAGAACTATTTCTAAAACACCTTGGGTAACTGTGAAGGCCAGAGATATACATGATGTTGCAAGAAACACATGTCTAATACTGCTATGACTATCTAAGTGCCCTATATAAATAAATATTAAATATTAGGTATGTGTATAAGTTAGGTTCAATATGGTCAATAACAACTTATTTAATAATTTGCGATATATTCATTACCAAAAGCTAGTCCAAAGATAACAACACTCATTTCTGTAGCCAGTAGAAAAAATCTGACCATCACCCAAAGAACCTATAATATTATTACGAAAAGATTTTTGTGGACAGTATTCATTTTCTGCATTTATTACCTTATCAGCTAAGCCACCTACTGGTGCAGCGCATTCACTGTCATCGATACAGTACATCTTAAAACACTAATTAATATGTTTACCCACACAAGGCCATAGAAAGCAAGAAATATTGGACTTGATGTTGCTCGTAACTTTAAACGTGCTCGATTAAATCGTATAAGAAGAAATATAAAAATATTACATTGGGTACTAGTATTATTAAATCCCAAATCCGAACTCTGTAAAAATAAAACGATAGACGATATAAATTCATGGCATGTAGCCTTGTATTCGTTAAAACTTACCTTGTATTGGCTATTTCTAAGTACAAAATCAATTTACAGAAATGATCCTGATCTAAAGGAGGTAATTCGGTTGTAGCATCATTTGAAGAAATATTTATAGGACCCGTCATTATATATATTAAACCTCACGTAATGTAGAGAAATCATCAATATAGTGTTAATGTAAACTAGTTTGAGCGTATGTTGTTCTTAATTGCCAAGAATAACAGGAAATTCACCAATAATAACGAGTGTCTTATTCATATATCGCATTACCTATATAATCATGACAATAACTATAACTAATATTCATTTTTTATTTCACTTGTAAAATGTTACATTATCTTAACAATAATGAGACAAAACAATATGAACAATAGCCAACAATAGCTGTCAAGAGTGTCAAGTGATTGTCAGATGTAGACTAGCGATAGTTTGAGAAAATGACACTGGCGCTGATAGAAATTGGTTGTGTGTTCATAGATATTTATACTATAAATTTTTTTTATAATACTTTAAATAAAAATTTTTTTGAAAAAAAAGTTGAAACAAAAATTTTTTTTTCCAGAATCAATTATTTTGTTAAGACAAGCAGAAAGTTTTTTGAAGCAATTAAATCGGACGCTTAGTTCTCTCGAAAACAGCCATTTTTTGTACATTTAGCTCCGTATCTTCGAAATGGCTGGGCCTGCCTTTGCCAAAAACTAATAATCACTTCTCCCAATCATTACTAATTGAATGTTTTTTAGATCATTCAAATCGGATACTCCGTTCTCTCAAAAACTCGATTTCTATACTCTGCACTCTTTGCTCTTTATCTCCGTAACTGCTGGACCTGCCTTTGCCAAAAACTAATCAGCACATCTCCTTATCAATAGGAATCGAATGTTTTTTTAACCATTCAAATCGGTTCATCCGTGCGCCCAAAAACGTGACTGGAAATTTGTATCCATACATACATACACACACACATCCATTTTTTCTGAGGTATGACAAAATGTTCAGAAACCTTCAAAACGTCGAGAAATGTAAAAATTTTCAATTCCGATTTTCGGCCCATTACAATAACTTACCCTACGGGAAGTTAATAAGCCAAAATAATTTCATAAAACAATTTTAACTGGAGAATTTTCGCAAATAATAAATTTTTTGTTTGAATTTCGCGCTTTAAATTGTACAAGAGGTGACAGTCATTCTGACACATGTTGATAACTTCCAAAGAAATTTTCGTGAATTAACACGCGGTCGGGTTAATTATGATTTTTAATTAAATCCTTGATTAGTTTTAATTAATTTAAGCATCAAAACGTGTAATTAATTTAGTAGATCATTTTGATATAATAAATTTATCGTGAAACGTTAATTAAAAGCCAAAAAATGGATATGTGTAGAAGTGCCTTGGTGTACCTTGAATAGTTTGATAAGTATCTCTTTCAGGGCCTTCATTTTGAGTCAATTTTATAATTAAACAATTCATTTACAGCGTCAATGTATCCTTTATTTATATATATGCAATTCTTAATAGTATAATTTATATATGTGCTTTTGTAGGTTATACTTTGGTACTTTTACCACATATCTCTTTATTATCGAATTCTAAATTCACGAAAGTCTCTAATGTAAGTCGTGTGTCGTGTATTGTGTAAAGACTTTACTCGGACAATTGCAACAGGTCAAATTGACTTGTAAAAGACTAAAGTTATGTAGTGGTTCTAAAGTAGTGATTTTGTGTCGAGTACTTGAGATTTCTGGCAGATGCTCCAGAGGTGGTTCGAGTAATGAGTTAGTGCTCTGGGAGCTGCTGTAGAGGATATCGAACAATGTAAGTGCAAAGCATGTTTTATACAAAGCGAGTCAAAGAACATATTTCTGATATATACAGGCATTTATCATATTACATCTGATATGTAGTACTTTATTTTAAATATTCAATATTTAATACTTATGTATATATATATATATATATATATATATATATATATATATATATATATATATATACATAAGATATATATACATAAGATATATACATATATCAGATATATATACATATATATATATATATATATATATATATATATATATATATATATATATATATAAAGCGAGAGGGTTTTCTTCAGATGGTGAAATAATATGATAAAATTGTTCTTGGGCATCCATCCAGTAATTAATAACAGTTTTATTGAAAGAAAATGTTTTGATTTATTTAATTTATTAAATTGGTGAGATTTATGTTTTTTTACATGTTTTTATTTATATTTTTCTGTGGATGAGTTTAATCAAGACCCGAAACATATGTTTTCTTAATAAAAACATTTTCTTTCAATAAAACTGTTTTTAATTACTGGATGGATGCCCAAGAACAATTTTATCATATATATATTTACATAAGAATTAAATATTGAATATTTAAAATAAAGTACTACATATGCAGTATATATGCATTAAGTTTTTCTTATCTTTGAATTTAAAGCAGTAAAATAATTTTGAAAATGTTTACTTCATCACAATATTTTTTGTAATCTTTAGTGAAACTATAATTTAAATAGAAACAAATAAAAAGATATTACTCATAATTTATTTTCTGAAAGAGGTTTACAATTAATGACCGAGTTTTTTTATTATATACTACTTTTATGCTTGTAATGATAATATTTCTTATATAATTATGTATTTGATGCTTGTTTTTCATATTAAATGAAATTAATTGAAAGATGCTTTGAGAACTTGTGCCTCTTTTATCCGATATCATTTATAAAGCAGTCTGTATATATTTTAGTGAAATATTTTCTGGCTCGTGCATTATTAATATAGTTGTATACATATATCTGCTGAAAATATCGTTTATACTATTATATTTGAGTCAATATCATTTTCTTTAATAAGATATACTTTATTAATTTTTAATTCATAAAATACAATATATTCTTGTTTATTCAACTACAACTATTATGCTAATAAAAGATTTTAAATTAATTTGGCAGACATATGTATTAAAGACTATGTTCATATTTAATTTGCTATGGGGAAAACATGTTGATTCAGTTTTTTTAATTTACTTATGAATTAAAATTCTATGAATGTTTTAAATCAATATAAAAGATAAATTTTGTACTTCTCGTATGTATCAAAGACATTGAAAATAATTTATATTATTATAATTCCATAATAATATTCCACCAGAGATTCCTTTGCTCTATAAATAACGCTATGAACTGATTTTGTGTGGAATTCAGAATTCTTATGTATATTAAATTTTTGTTACCAAATTATTAGTTAACCAATACAGCTTTCTGTAAGCATCGATTACTCATTTGTTGAAGAGGCCCTAGCCTTCTTCCTTAGGTAACTCCTAAATTGATGGTACTTTATTACAAATTACAAATTTACTTTGTTACAAAAATATCTTTTTTTGTGACACCTCTTGTTTATTATTCTTTGGAAACAATTTTTTAAATTACATTTCCAGTATCAAGAATCATGTGTTTTCCCTGTAGCGATATTGACTGCATGTACATTCTTATTTATGGATAACACGATTGTTGATTTTGATCAAAATATTTCAAATACTCAATACGACTTACCAAATTGTTAATTGAATGCAGCTTTTAAAAGTCTTTTACTGTAATTTTATTTTAAATTTATTCAATTATATTGCTGCATAGCTAAATGATAGATTTTTATTTTTTTATTATTAAAAACAATTTTGATCAAGACTTGCAATCAAAGTTTCAAAGAGTTGACTTGAATGATTAGACAAAATATAGTTTTGTTTACAAGTTTATTATTCGATTCAAGTTGTAAAAATTATTTAACTCGATTTCTAAAGGATAACAATCAGCTTTAAACAGTTTTGAAGTTTTTAATGTTCAAGTTTTCGAACATTTTTCATTATTTCATTTTACAAGTTTTATTGAATTTCTTTTATGGCTTTTTCTAATAATTTGTATATTATTCAAGTCAACTAAATTTGTTTTTGTCTCGATTAATTGTAAAGGTTTCACATGTTTTATCAAGTCGTATAAACAATTTTGATTCGATTAATATCATTTCATTTCATCGATTAACTAATTAATTCTCTCGAATAATTTTTTTTTTCTAAGTCCAAATTTTTTGATTATAATTCTTTCGAATAATTTTTTTTTTTCTAAGTCCTTTCAGATATTTTTTGTTTTCTAAGTCCAAATTTTCTGATTATAATTCTCTCGAATAATTTTTTTTTTTCTAAGTCCAAATTTTCTGAAACCTTTTCAATTAAGACAGACGAGTTATTTATGCATGCTGTATTATCCCAAAGCCAACATTCGAATGAATGAGGCTCACATTGAATATTTCACAACGAGAAAATTTTATTGGGGCAAAGTTAAATATTTTAACTAAGTCCCAGTAATTTTTTCTCGTTGTGAAAATTTCAACGTGGACTTCATTTCATTCGAGTGTTGGTTTTGGGAATTGGTGTGAGGGAACACTAAAAAACATAAAAAAGTTTCAACGCTGAACAGAAAAGAGAAAAATTGATCTGGGACTTAGGGGGTTTTTTTTAGGCTCTCCACCCTCTCCTTCCTCCTCCTCCTCCTTCTTTTACCCTTTTTTTCCTTTTTTCCGCTTTTTTCACATTTTTTTTTCCTTTTTTGGTGTTTTTTCGCATGTTGTGGTTTTTGGGTAGATTTTTGGGTTCGGCATGCATCTTCCGCAATGTGTCTCTCTGCGTGTAACCTCTCGCATCATGGACCTCAGGTTGACCATCACTTGGTGTGTTCGTTTCAGGACCCTTTGCGCTCGCCAACAGCCAGCCACCAGCACTGCTCCATTTTTTCTGCTTCAGAGTTCCTTGTCGTCGCCTTAGGCCGGATTCGATCCTGCTCACCTTGTGCCTCCAGAGTTATTTCACCGAGTATGCGGTCCCTTAAACCACTCGGCTATTTGTGTTATTGATGATAAAAGTTATTTTCATTCTCATATTGTATTAATATTGAATTTTAATAAAGAATATGTATCATACACATCTCTCTTATTCATCATCTGCCTCTACCCCTCTCTTTCCCCAATGCTTCCTCTTTTTTTTTTTCTTTTTTTTTCCTTTATGTATCTCCCTTACAGTCAAGTGCGAAACTTGAGTTTTTTGTTTTTCAGAAATATTCTAAGTGTCAAGGTCGAAATGCGACACCTGAATTTAATATTTTGAACTAATATTTGATATTTATGAAAAACTATACATTCGAATTTTCAAGCATCTTGGGGATTTGAACCGAGAAACAATGAGCAACCGTAGTGGCAACTTAACGATCTCGGCCAATTAGTTATACAGAACTCACTGCTATTTTTAAAAATATAAAGTCTTATTTTGATGATGAAAGATATAGGCTTCCTAAAAAAATTGTGTGCCAGTTGTGCGAATGGCTGAGATCGTAAAGATGCGGTCGGCTTAAGACAGAATAACAATTCGAGGTTCGCCAGTTCGAACCCCATTTAACTGAAAAAAATATTTGGAACCAATAATTTTTCAAACTGTGTAAATAAATAAGACATATAGATAAATAATTAAATTTATTGAGTGTCAGCATTACAAAAATCGACATAATATATAGTGCATATATATAAATATAAATGTATATATATACGCATGTATATATGTATATATATATATATATATATATATATATATATATATAAATAAATAAATATATAAAAGATAAGAAATAGTAGGAGAAGGATAATTTTTAATAAATTCATATTTACGCCTGGTTAGCAGTAAACCAAACCTACTTTGGTGTAATTTAAAAATCTTATTATTTTTCCGATAAAAAAACAGTCTATCAGGAGCAGCCAAAATTGGCCAAAATCGTGACATTCAAATGCAATTTCAAGGCCCTTAATGAATGAAATTAATAATTTTAATTAATGCTTTGTGTAGACTAAAGTACAATCTTTATACCAAACCAAAAAAAATTCAAATTTATCATTGTCTTCATAGTTAAAATCAGCTTCAAAGTTGGCAATTTATCAAACTTCAATTTGGTACCAAGGGCAGAAAAACTTTTTTTTCCAAAAACTGATTTCATATTCGGAATCAGCGCCTCGAAAACTATCAGAATCAGTCAAAACATTTTAAAAATCGCGAAAAAAAATTTTCATTTCATTAGTAAAATTTTGATTTTGCAACCAAAGATTTCGATTTTTCGGGGGGTGTATGTGGATTTGTCCAAAAACGGAAAACATTTTTGAAATCAGCGTCCCAAAATCTTTTGGAATCAGTCAAAATATTTCAAAAATTGCGAAAACAAATCCATTTTTTTGATAAAATTCCGATGTTGCAGCTAAAGATTTCGTTGTTTTGCAGACATACAACCACCCTGAAAGCTCATCAATCGTGATAATTACGTCCTTTCGATTAAACAGACTTTTCCAATGAGTTCTTGATTATAAATTTCCTCTACTATAGGCGAGACTCAGAGGTTCCTTGTATGACATTCTTATAAAACCTGTAATTAGAATAAAAATTTATTCTAAGAATACACATTTAAAATAAGATTACATAGTCATTTCCACAGATTTCTAAACAAAGTTTTTGCCGTTTGCCGTATACGTATAAATTCTTTAAATTTTTACAACTCGGTATACATCAAATCGATGCATTAATAAAGTTTACGTGAAAAAAATATTCAGTGATTCTGGTGTATATTTTAGCAATTTCGAAGAACTAGTTGCTGTGGGATCTTTATACGATTGAATAAAATATAGATTATTTAATGTTATAAAATTGTAGAATAAATCATTTATATTAATCGAATAACTTGATATGATATTGACAATCCGTGAATAGTAGTCCATGATATAAAGTTAAAACCATAGGTTTTTTAACTTTTCGTTCGTGGAGTAAGTTATTGTAATTGTCCAGAAATCAAAAATGAAAGTTTTTGCGTATCTTCACGCAAAAAAATGTATGTATGTATGTGCGTGTGTGTGTTCGGATACAATTTTTCGTCGACGATTTAGAGAGAACGAATTAATCGATTTGAATGATTCAAAAATCATTCGATTGCTATTAAAGGAAACGCGTGCTGATTAGTTTTTGGCAAAGACAGGTCCAGCCGTTTACAAAATAAGGAGCTAAATGTGGAAAATATGGCAGCTTTTTAAAGAACGAAGCATCAAAAAACCGTTCGCTTGTGTTGAAGAATTGATTGTTTTTGGGCAAAGCAAAAAAAATTGTGGATTTCAAAATATCAAATCTTTTTCTTTTTTAATTTTCAAAACAAAATTTTTTGATATCGAAAATGATTCGTATCTTTAAATTGTAGCTCATTTTCAAAAACTCATTTATATACTTAAAATAAATAATTTTAATTTTGCAATTCAGTGTATATAATTCTTATAAATATGAGATAAAATCCTTTATCCTAACTTCGATTGATTAAGTTTTGTTTGTTTAGTTTTCATGTAAACATAGATAAACGTCGTTGTCTAATTTATATAAGCTTTTATATTTTGTCTATAAAATAGGAAAAATGGAAGTTACAATATTTATAATAATCTATTTGAGAACATTTGAGATTCCTCGAATATTTCGAAACATTGCTAGATGATCATTACGGTACGGGAAGTTCTAGCAAATTGCCTTAAGGCACGATGCGATACTATTTGAAAATGATATCAAATTGTGTTAAAGGTATTTAAAAAACATGAATAGTAACCCATAGTTTTTACATATCATTTTCAAATTAAGTAAAATATATTCAACTAGTTGGTTTGGTATTTAGCCTTGAGGCAAGTTACATGAACTTCCCGATATGTGTAAATAATCGACTGAATCAATAAAAAATAAATGAATTTATGAGTGATTAAAAGTATTCCGAGTGGATTTATTACACATATTTGAAAACGAACTAACACGTTAACGCGGAGTATTTTCTAAAAGCAAATTTTAAAAATTCAACAATTTTTGTATTTGAACCAGTTTCCGTAGGACTTTAATGATTTATTACGTTTATTAAGACCAAGTACTCTATCGTTATACCAAGTAAATCGTCTAATTTTAATTTTAACAAACGTCAAAAAAACTACTCATTTTCTCAAATTTTGATAAATTTTTAAAGTTAAACTACTTGTCGTAAGGCGGTAATTTTTTGTTAAGTTCTATAAGACCACGATATATATCGCCAAAAAAGTCCCATAAAAATCGGCTTAATTTTTTTTCTTTCAACAATTAATTACAAGAAAACGGCTCGGTAGATTTTCACCTCAAACTAATCAGTACCATTCCCAACTAATATCTTTAGAACAGTTTTTGATTTTTTAAAATCGATTCGGTAGTTTGAGCTTGAATGTGGACGAAAAGTTTAACCTTTTTTTTCAAATTACAAAGAAACGGTTTGGCAGATCGTCTCACAAAACTGATAAACGATAGTCCTCATTGAGATACATCAAATGGCTTTTAAATTTCTGAAATTGGTACAGGCGTTTTTAAGAAAACGTCGATCAAAGGTTTAATTTTGACAAAAAAAACAATTCTAATTTTTGCAAACTTTGAAGATTTTTTAAATTAAACGACTTGTCGTAGGACCGTAATATTTTAGTATGATCTACAAGACTATGGATCTACAAGACTATGGTATCTACCGATCTTTACCAAAAACTAATCAGCACGATTCCCAACCAATATCTATCGAACAGTTTTTTCAAAATCGATTCAGAATTGCGGGCTAAAACGTGGACGAAAAATTTTTCACTTTTCTGCGATTTACAAAGAAACGGCCTGGTCGATCGTTTTACAAAAGGTCAGAAATGCTAGTCCTCATCGAGATACATCGAATGGTTTTAAATGTTTGAAATAGGTCCAGCCGTTTTGGAGAAAACGTCGATTTACGGCAAAAAATCTGTTCACACACACACACATACTTTTTCCAAATTTGGTCTCATTCGATTCAGAATGACTTGAAACGTCGAGAAAACATGAAATTAGCGAGTCGGATTTTTTGATGAAAACATAAACTTCTCCTTCGGGAAGTTAAAAAAAAGTGAATTTAACCGTGGTTTTAACTTGATATTTATTCTATTCAAATTAAGTAAAATGTATAAAAATTATCTGATTTTAAATATCACACAACAAAAAAATAACAAAAATCTGAAGTGTTTTAATTAATTATTAAACTTTTATTTAATTAATTAGCTAAAAATAATTGTCAACAAGTTTGGCATTCGAAATTTCTAACCTCAAAAACTGCAATTTAATTGTATGTAAAGGAATAAATTCAGGTATTAATAATTGTTTGAGATTCAATAAATATTACAATGCAAGCATAAAAATGAATGTGTCAAAAATATATTCAACAACTATTTATTTCGAATTATTCCTAACTGTTTGCCAAAATATTTTTGAATACATAGCATTAACCAGTTTGCTCAAATTTAAAATAAAAAACATTATTTGGTACTTACCTAAATCACATAAAAAACACTTCAAGTTTAAATCTATCATTTATGATATGAACATTTATTATTATGATAAAGACACTTGTATAATTAAATTTTTAATATTGCTTTGCAAGTGACGTTAGTAAGGAACTCGTTGCGTCGTTTTCTGACATTGTTTCTGTCTGTTGGTATACAAGTTCTTTCACCGATTTTTCCTTCGTGTGTTGGTGCCAATTGAACGAAGTTAACCTCATAGTCATAAACGTCATATGACGTTGACCATTTTACTGGATTGTTTGCTTTTCTGTTTTGTTACGAAATTACAAAATAAAGTGTTAATAAATTAAATTATTTATATAAATACATTATTGACTATTTAAATATGAATATTAATGAAATAAATACAAGGTATCTATTAGTGTACCAATACCTTTAGACGAAAATGTTGAAAAATACAGTTATTCAGAAATAGTCATACAACTTATAAAATATATTTTGCATGTTCGTCGACAAATACCTTTTAATTATGATACGTTTAGTTACTTAATGAATAAAAATAAACATAAATATGATGGAAATGTTAATACTACTAATGTACTTGCTGCACGTCGTTACAAAATATATGAAGCTACATTGAAATCACTAAATAATTTATTTCAGGTTTGTATTATTGATGTAATTGTTTATTTGATACACATAATTACTAATATTTTGCAGAATCTACAAAAAGAGATTACTACAAATTTTGAATGCATACATCAAATATCAATAGTGTTGGGAGGATCACCTGTTACAGCTAAAGAAGTTTATGATGTTTATAGAAAATCATGTTCATATCTAAATATAAGTAACTCAAAAAATAATAAACGATATCTTTTTAACAAAATATTGAGGTAAGTGTTACATTCTTTTTATTCTCAATAGTTTATATCACAATCATTAATACATTTGTTTCTTGCCGTATTGTGTGCATAAGACATTATTGTCTTTAAAAGATTATAAAGTGTGCCCGAATTACTTCATATTTAGTATGCATTACCTGTTTTCAAAAATGTATGTTTCAGTTCTCTCATGAAATCACCACAATTACAAAACAATGTTAAGAAAACACTGCCAGTAAACAAAACAAATATTTTAATAAAAACATCAGTGGATAAATTTGAATCAGTAGAGGAGTTTCTTCCTAAGGATAATTTCAAAATACCTATGAATTGACAAAAGTGAATTTTGATTTTAATGAAGTTGAAATATCTGGAAATGAATTACATTCCAGTAATGTCTGCAGTTGCGAATGCAGATGGTACCAATCAAAAGAAATAATTAAAGGTTTTAAAGATGAACTAGTTAATGGAAAATTAATATGGTTATGACAATTAAAATGATTTAGCTAATTAAATTATTTTCTAATTCAATAAATGATGAGTTAATTTTTGCATGTATTTACATAATGAATACAATATCACTTTTAATAACTATATTAAATCTTAAGATTTTTAATCGTTGATATGGATTGTAATTATAATGTATATACATATACCAAAATAAACTAGTAATACCTAGTAAAGATACTTCTTGATTCTCTGTTTTCCCATGTTTTTCACATTCCTCAGGCTCTGAATCCGATTCTAATTCTGATTCAGAATTACTGGGTGGAAATTCATCTTCGGAATCATTATTACTTTCTGTTACACTAGTACTCTAGTAATACAAAAAATTCTGCATAAAATGTGTGTTAATTAAATAATAAATTATGATTATTTTAATTGAGATAAATGCTAGCAAATATTTAAATGTAGCGCAATGCATTGTGCAAGAATTATGAATAAAAAAAAGAGCCAAAATTAACATAAGACTTTGAAAAAGTGATATTAAAGTATGAAGTTATGTGATGAAAATATAAAATTTAATATTAATAAGCTGTACCTGTGTTGCAATAATTTCACCTTTAACATTTCTGTTAATTAGATTTCCCATAATGAAAGCAGTAGGACATTTATTTGCTACAAGAACAGCTTTTACTTTATAAACAATTGTCTCTAAAATTCTAAGAACTGTGGGAACGCACGACATCAATGCTACATCTTTTGTTGTCTGGAATAAAAAAATAAACACATATTACATTAAAGACATTCAGGATATATGATATTAAAAAAAATGTTAATAACTTTAGCCTGAACACAAATAGAATTTATAAATCTAGTACTCTGCTGCATTGTTTTTAATATATTAGTTACATCCTCTGTATTATTTCTTAGCAAAACTTCTAGCCCGGACAAACCTTGTTTTAAAAAAATCTTAAGTATCATAGGAGATTGCTGAAAAAATTAATAAGTAAAATGAATTAATATAACTTAAAACCATTTACTAAGATGTTTAAACTAGTACTTGCTTTTATAAAAATGTTAATGATTATTTTTGAATCTTGTTCTTTGGCCAATAACATTAGTTTTCCTAATGTGTTCATTATAGCTTCCCAAAATCTTAAGTGCTGAGTACTCGATAATGGTTTTAATATTCGATCACGAACAGCTTGAATAAATGCATGAAATACATTCCTGTATAGTAGTGGAAAATTGGACCTATAATGAATGAATAAGACATTATAAATAACAACGACATTATAAAATTTTGTGGATAATGTTGATTTTACTTGTGAAAACAAGGAAAAGTCTTTAGATGATATTTTTTTTTATCTGCTGCTGCAATTTCCTCTCTTAACCAGTTAACATTCTGTACAATTTTTTTGACATCTGCCTTGTGAAAATAATTTTTCAATACTATTTCTAGGTTTAAATTGGAATTTCTTCCTTTCTCTATTGCACCTGTTTCATCATACCATTCTTCACTTAAAATTCATGTGATAATGTAATGAGTTTACTTTCTAAATCATTGTCTTCAATATATTGAGTTAAAGTTAAAGCATTTAATATTTATTAAATTGGCGGCACAAGGTAATGTTATAATAACTGATCTATGTCCAAGGAAAAAGTTTGCAGCAGATACTACTAAATCATGCATACTTTTTTCTTCAGAATCACAGCTTGTTGGAAATCCACCAAGTAACTCTAAAATAAAAGTAAATTATGAATAATAGAAATTAGCACTAAATTACTAGTTAATTCGTGGAACAATAATTATGCAAATCCAACCTTTAAATAATGGTTTATTTTTTGAAATGGTAAATCCTGTCCAACCAAATATAGATGAAAAAAACTTTTGTAACAAAAATAGGCAAGTTTTAGCTTGCATTGTTTTCTCGAAATACATTACATTAGCATCTTTTATATAATCACATTCCTTCAAAACATCAACTAATATATTGCAAATTTCGATAAAATTCTCTAATACATTGGGTATGATAGGAATAATTTCCTTCATCAAAACTTCAGGTGCTTCCATAAAATTTTGTTCCTCTGATAATTTACTTTTACCATTTAAGATTTCTAATTTATAGATAATATTCTGAAGTATATACCTAAAATAAAAATATTCATCAAAGACATAGTTAAAATGGATTTGATTCATATACCTCAATATTATATCGATATCATAATTTGCTTAAATAGTTTAACTGCAGAATATTATGAATGAGTTTTCTTCATAAAACTTTGGAATAAAACTTTATTCAATTATCTAAATATTTACTAGATGGCCTATAAATTGTACTCACGACATTTCATCCCATAGTTATGCTCTCTTCTTTATTACTTACTAACAATTTTTTTTCAGCAGTATTATCAAACTATTATCATATGCTCTGAATATTTTTCCACATGGATCTATTGTTGGTTTATGATTTTTTATATTTGCTTGAGGATTAGCAGTAGTAGTATCTTCAATCTGAATAGTATCTTATTTTGTGCTTTTTAGTACCACCTTTCTTTGGAGGTTTCTTCGTTATTGCAACTTCTAAGTCTCTTTCTTTGTGAAAATTTGAAGATGGCGGTTTTATAATCTAGACCATTAAGCGATAATAAGCTATGGAATTTTTTCTCCATATTGATAGTGCTCTCAATCGTTTAAGAACTTTTGTTCCATTTCAGGCATGAATAAAAATGCACTAATTAATTCTCTAAACCAATTGATACAATGAAATATGCAGTCTAGTACAGGACTACGTTGTTCAAAAGATATTTCCTCAAAATCATCTAAATCTTCAACAACTGGCATGCAACTCCATAGTCAAGAATTGTATTAACAAAGTTCAAATTAGAACCAGACTCAACTTCAAAAGCCTTAGTAAACGAAAAAGAGGTGATAAAGCACTTATATTGACAGCACTACAATCCCTATAACACTTGAAAACAACTGGTGCTATATTGATAAGAGCCTGATGATTTTTGTGATTTCGCTCGTTTATGCAGAACATTTCTTTGATATGACAACCATTCCTAAAATGTTTAAAATTCATATATAATTAACAATTGATTTTTTAAATCTGTCTGATAAATCATGATAAGCATATAAGAAAGTAACTGAAAACAATTTTTATAATACTAACAATACTTCATTGCAATTTTTTCTGTAGTGAAGAATCGTTTAAAATCATTTGTAATTCTATTACCACAACCAGCTACTAAATTGATCATCGAGCTCTGAATGGTGCATTTGTACCATGCTAGCTAGTTCATCATATGCCATCCCCTAAAAATTTAATTCATTCATTTATTTAGCATTGTAAAAAATTTTAAACTATCTATAAAAAATAATTTAATATTCTTCAATGTTTACTTGTAGTTAACTCAAAACACAAAACTATAGTTTTCTTTATTAGATTGAAGAGAAGTTTATTCGATTGTAGGTTAAAATAAAACTTTAAATGAAGAGTTAAAATATACATGGTGTAATAAATATACATAAAAATAAAAACTTTACTCTAGATGGGATATCCTGATATTAACATAAACATAGAATCAATCATAGATGCAGCATCTTTACATTTACCATGTTGTGGTAGATCTTGAGAGTTTTCAACTGAAGGAATGCTTGGTTGCACTGGATATTTCACTATTATTGTCAAGGTGTTTTTTTGCTATATGTTGTACCACTGCCACACAGCAAAGATTCCTTTCTCTTTTCTCTAAAAATTAGATTTTGATTGAATAACATTTCTACATTAAAACAATTAACGTACATTGTTAAAAATGATGACAACCATTTTGGAGTATATATTCGAATATCATCTTGTAATGAAAAGCCTGAGTTTTGTTCATTTAATGGGAAAGCAGCACTGCACAAAATATTCATTGCCATACGAACTTGAGCACAGTCATTGAATCGATAGAATAAAGTAATTTCTG